CTGGGTCCACCTCAGTGCCGGAACTGCGGCACGGGGGAGGGGCCGCGGATGTCCTGTCCCTTCTCCAGCCGCCGCTCACAGTCAATCAGGTAGTTCACACCGTCTATCACCAGCTGCACCAGCTCCACCTGCACCAGGAGGACACGTCCTGTCTCAGGGGCTGTCCTGGGAGCCACGCCAGCAGGGCACCCGGCCGGCCCCACTGTGCCAAGGGCAGGCGCTGCCACCACCCGTCCCCACATGCTGACCGCAGCACCGCCGCTCTGGAGCTGTTTGGGTGTCATGGGGCCGTCATGCACTCGCACTCCAGAACCTCCCGCCCCAAAAGCAGCTCTGCCCAGCACCCACCTCTGACTTCCCCAGCCGGTCCAGGTTGGAGATGTCGAAGACGCTGCCAGTAGCTGCAGTGTCCACACCGCCTGTCCCACGCTTCTGTAGCCGGAGGTTCTCTAGGATCTTAGGGAAGCGGCTGTCCTGGTGCCCAGAGAAGGTGTTGGTGCTCAGCGGGACCATCGGCAAGGGAGTCAGGGCTCTGCAGCCCCCTGCTCCCTGGGGCAGCCCTCCCGCCACTCGCAGGACCCCGTCAGCGAGCCGTAATCCCCGCAGGGAGTCCTGCCCTGAGCAGACCCACATTCACACTTGGGTCCCTGGCCCCTCTGGCCGCAGATGTGGGTGTGGGCTGGACCATACGCTCCCTGCAGGAACCCGAGTGAGGTCCTGTGGAGCCCTGCACCTCCCGTGTGGCTGGGCTCCCTGCGCCCCGCAGCTGGGGGCTCCCCGCAGCCCTGGCCTGGCCCCACACAGAACCGGCCATGGTAATACCTTGCTGAGCAGTGGCAGCTTGATGTGGACGCCAGCGCGCAGCCCAGTGCCCAGGTTGGAGGGGCAGGGGAGGCAGCCTCTCATTCCACATGAACTCCCAGCCTCGCTCCTGGATTAGCCGCTCCACCTGGGTTAGAGCACAAGCAGCCCTTCAGCCCCCGGCCGTGGGGTGCACAGCCCTCGGCACAGCACACCAGCTCCTCGGGCGCTGTCAGCCCCAGATGAGCACAGGGGGCCAGCGCCGCAGCAGCCCTGCGTGCCCCTGTCCGCCTGTCCACCAGGCTGCCGCAGCAGAGGATGGCGGGTGCTCACCTCCTTCAGGCCCCGACAGAACCGCTCGAAGACACGCTTCATGTTGCCACCCTTCTCCATGGAGATGACACGCGTGTGGTCCTCCTCATTGATCCAGATCAGGAAGGTCTTCTCGTTGTTGTGCCTAGGCACAGGGCACTTCAGCTGCGCTGGCAGCCAGCAGAGCCCCCGTGCCCACCCAGCCACTGGTGCCCACCCTGGCCGTGCCCCTTCTGCCCCCCCGACTGTGCCGCCAATGCTGCTCCACGGTGCCCGCGGCTGGGAGCACGTCGCCAGAGCACAGCCCGGCAGCAAGGCAGACAGTGCAGGGATGCTCCTGGAGATGGGCCAGTGTTCAGCCACACACAGTGCTGCGGGTGACGGGTGCTGGCTCCAGTGCTGTGGGCGCAGGCAAACGCTGCTGGGGAGGAGCAGCATGGTGCCAGCATGGTGGCAACCCTGCCTGGGCTGGGGATAGGGCCACAGCTTCTGCACTGCACAGGCTGTGAGGTGTGGGCTGCACATTGGGGTTAGGGGGCAGCTGGAGTTGGGGACCATGTGTGCTGTGGAGGTGTTTTCCATGAGGCTGCTATAAAGGCGCTGTGCCAGCGAGGGTGGTGTGGGCGAGTGCGTGTGCTGGCTGTCACTCTGCGGGTGCGTGAGATGCTGCGTGGGATGTTGCATGGCTGTGCAGAGATGCTAGGAGGGAGCAATAAGATGCAATCGTGGGAGGATAAGCTTGGGGGCAGGCAGAGCATGGAGAGAGCCGGGAAGAGTGCTGGGGATTGCCTGGGAAGCAGAAGGCAGTGACAGGTTTTTGGCAGCCTAGAGTGCAGGGTGCTGCAGGATGGTGAGAGCAGGCAGGACCGGCAGCAGGGGTTGGCTGCAACGTCCCACTTCTTAGGAGGACACTGTGGTTTGCGTACGGAGCGGCTGGCTGCTGACTGCAGCACACAAGGGGCTCCCAGGTCAGGTGAGAGCAGGGAGACCTCAGCTCTGCATGGCCACAGAGCCTGGGGTGAGCACGGCCCAGGGGCACTGGTGCTGCACGTGCTGGGGTCTGCGGTGCGGTGAGCACGGGGGACGCGGGTGCCAGGGCTGGGGTGGCCAGACAGAGCAGCAGCATCCCCTGCCTTTCTGCCCTGCTGACTCCCCAATGCTGGGGCAGATCCTCACCAGATCCCTCGGGCGTCGGGCCAGTCCCGGGCCAT